GAAATAGCAAACAAGAGGACTCCACTAGCAATAGTGAGAATATATTACCAAAAACAACTGGTGGAAGCTCTATTGTTGGTGCTAGGGAGGATAGGAATAAGACAGGTAAACATGCACCAACAGGGAATACAGTCACAGAAACCCAAGGCAAACGGAAACTAAGCCTGTGCACATACTATGCACTTAGTATGTGCAGACATGGGAAATCTGGAAAAACAGATGGGACGTGCAACTATGACCACCCTAGAAAATGCCGTGCCCATATGACAACAGGAAAATGCAAACTCCCTTCCCGTAAGGTTTTTCACCCTGAAATGTGTACCTCTTCAGTACAGGAAAGACTGTGCTATAACTTAAATTGCCAGGCACACCATCTAAAGGGGACAAAAAGATACAAAACATCCAGGCCATGGGAAAACCTGGGTAGCCACAGCCACTCAAGAGGGAGAGGTTTTTTAGTGCCAGGAAGGAAAAAAAACTGGCAGGAAATGGCAGACATCGTACACCAAATCCAGTCATTCCTGGAGTGGAACCACAGTCGATGGCCTCCACTCCAAACCAACAGATACAGATACTAATGCCGGAAAAAAATCCCCCCCCAGTACCAACAATACCACCAGTCCGATGACATTCTTCTTTGCAAATATACAGGGTCTAAAGCCAGCAACAAACTACAAAATACCTTTCATCTGTGGACTGCTTGCAGAGGCAAAGGCAATGTTCGCGGCTTTCACTGAGACTCACATAAGGGATCACTTGGACAACGAAATATGGATCCCAGGTTACAACCTATACAGATGTGACAGAGTGAACAGGCAAAAGGGGGGGAGGGGTTGGCCTGTACGTTGCAGAGTCACTTGTCTGCACAGAACTGCTTAATGCCTCAAATGATGTAGTGGAAGTTTTAGCAGTAAAGATCGAGAACCAAAACCTAGTCATTGTGGTAGTCTACAAGCCTCCGGATGCAACATCCCAGCAATTCCAGGAACAGCTGTTAAAAATTGACCACTGTCTGGAAAATCTTCCAGCTCCTGCACCCAACATCTTGCTCCTGGGGGATTTCAACTTAAGGCACCTAAAATGGAGGAATATAGCAAATAATATTGTTGCAGTTATAACACCAGGAGGCAGCTCTGATGAAAACTCACACTCACACGAGCTTTTAAATCTCTGCACAAAATTCAATTTAAACCAGCAAATAATAGAGCCTACTAGAGTGGAGAATACACTAGACCTCATCTTCACTAACAATAATGATCCGATACGAAATGTCACCATATCAAAAACAATATACTCAGATCACAACATAATTGAGGTTCAGACATGTATGCGTGGAGCCCCAGACCGACATAATGAGATTAGTCACAAGGGAGCATTCACCAAATTCAACTTCAATAACAAAAACATAAAGTGGGACCAAGTAAACCAAGTCCTAACCGATATAAGCTGGGAAGATATACTAAGCAACACAGACCCCAACTTATGCCTAGAACAGATTAACTTGGTGGCACTCGATGTTTGCACAAGGCTTATTCCTCTAATTATTATTATAATCAAAAAAGAAGCGCTAAGCCACAAGGACTATACAGCTTATTCCTCTAAGAAAAAGGAGGAGTAGATGTAAAATAGAAAGAGACAGGCGCTCCCTTTACAGGCGACGGAAAAGAATAACAGAGTGGCTAAAAGAGGTCAATATATCTGAAATGCGTAGGGAGACACTGGTCAGAAAAATAGCAAACATCGAACTTAAGCTAAAGGAATTTTATAGGAGTCAGGAATCGCGGGAAGAACTAAAAGCCATAAATGAAATCGAAAGAAACCCAAAGTATTTCTTCTCCTATGCCAAATCAAAGTCTAGAACAACGTCCAGTATTGGGCCCCTACTTAAACAAGATGGGTCGTACACAGATGACAACAAGGAAATGAGTGAGCTACTTAATTCCCAATATGACTCACTTTTTAGCAAGCCGCTAACCAGACTGAGAGTCGAAGATCAAAATGAATTTTTTATGAGAGAGCCACAGAATTTGGTTAACACAAGCCTATCTGATGTTATCCTGACGCCAAATGACTTCGAACAGGCGATAAATGACATGCCCATGCACTCTGCCCCAGGGCCAGACTCATGGAACTCCGTGTTCATCAAGAGCTGCAAGAAGCCCCTATCACGAGCCTTTACCATCCTATGGAGAGGGAGCATGGACACAGGGGTCGTCCCACAGTTACTAAAAACAACAGACATAGCCCCACTCCACAAAGGGGGCAGTAAAGCAACAGCAAAGAACTACAGACCGATAGCACTAACATCCCATATCATAAAAATCTTTGAAAGAGTCCAATGAAGCAAGATCACCACCCATCTAGAAACCCATCAGTTACACAACCCAGGGCAACATGGGTTTAGAACAGGTCGCTCCTGTCTGTCTCAACTATTGGATCACTACGACAAGGTCCTAGATGCACTAGAAGACAAAAAGAATGCAGATGTAATATATACAGACTTTGCAAAAGCCTTCGACAAGTGTGACCATGGCGTAATAGCGCACAAAATGCGTGCTAAAGGAATAACAGGAAAAGTCGGTCGATGGATCTAAAATTTCCTCACTAACAGAACACAGAGAGTAGTAGTCAACAGAGTAAAGTCCGAGGCAGCTGCGGTGAAAAGCTCTGTTCCACAAGGCACAGTACTCGCTCCCATCTTGTTCCTCATCCTCATATCTGACATAGACAAGGATGTCAGCCACAACACCGTGTCTTCCTATACAGATGACACCCGAATCTGCATGACAGTGTCTTCCATTGCAGACACTGCAAGGCTCCAGGCGGACATCAACCAAATCTTTCAGTGGGCTGCAGAAAACAATATGAAGTTCAACGATGAGAAATTTCAATTACTCAGATATGGTAAACACAAGGAAATTAAATCTTCATCAGAGTACAAAACAAATTCTGGCCACAAAATAGAGCGAAACACCAACGTCAAAGACCTGGGAGTGATCATGTCGGAGGATCTCACCTTCAAGGACCATAACATTGTATCAATCGCATCTGCTAGAAAAATGACAGGATGGATAATGAGAACCTTCAAAACTAGGGAGGCCAAGCCCATGATGACACTCTTCAGGTCACTTGTTCTATCTAGGCTGGAATAGTGCTGCACACTAACAGCACCTTTCAAGGCAGATGAAATTGCTGACCTAGAAAATGTACAGAGAACCTTCACGGTGCGCATAACGGAGATAAAACACCTCAATTACTGGGAGCGCTTGAGGTTCCTAAACCTATATTCCCTGGAACGCAGGTGGGAGAGATACATGATTATATACACCTGGAAAATCCTAGAGGGACTAGTACCGAACTTGCACACGAAAATCACTCACTACGAAAGCAAAAGACTTGGCAGACGATGCAACATCCCCCCAATGAAAAGCAGGGGTGTCACTAGCACGTTAAGAGACCATACAATAAGTATCAGGGGCCCGAGACTGTTCAACTGCCTCCCAGCATACATAAGGGGGATTACCAACAGACCCCTGACAGTCTTCAAGCTGGCACTGGACAAGCACCTAAAGTCGGTTCCTGACCAGCCGGGCTGTGGCTCGTACGTTGGTTTGCGTGCAGCCAACAGTAGCAGCCTGGTTGATCAGGCTCTGACCCACCAGGAGGCCTGGTCACAGACCGGGCCGCGGGGGCGTTGACCCCCGGAATTCTCTCCAGGTAAACTCCAGGTCTCCGAAAGCAAAATTATTATTATTATTATAATCAAAAAGAAGCGCTAAGCCACAAGGGCTATACAGCGCTGCTCGAAAGCAAAAGACTCGGCAGACGATGCAACATCCCCCCAATGAAAAGCAGGGGTGTCACTAGCACGCTAAGAGACAACATAATAAGTGTCAGGGATCCAAGACTGTTCAACTGCCTCCCAGTATACATGAGGGGGATTACCAATAGACCCCCGGGTGTCTTCAAGCAAGCACTGGACAAGCACCTAAAGTCGGTACCTGACCAGCCGGGCTGTGGCTTGTACGTTGGATTGCGTGCAGCCAGCAGTAACAGCCTGGTTAATCAGGCTCTAATCCACCAGGAGGCCTGGTCACAGACCGGGCCGCGGGGGCGTTGACCCCCAGAACTCTCTCCAGGTAAACTCCAGGTCCAGGTAATCAGTAATAATAGGTACCTGGGTGTTAGTCGACTGTTATGGGTAGCATTCTGGGACAAAACTGACCTAATTTGCACGAAATGCTCTGCATACCAAAGGGCATTCTGTGTAGTAATATGTCATTGATGTCAGCTAGGCCTGTATACCTTGTACATGTACCTGTAGAAATAAAGATATTATACTATATTATATGGTATAATCAGGCTGATCTAACTTGGGAACTAATTAATGGTCCAAGTCAGACCGAGGAGTTGCCATAAGTGCGTGTTATTTGTGTATTCATGATCCATACACCCTGTCAACTAATTACACGAATACCACCTGTTGGTTAACACTTACACTCACTCACTCATTTGACCATAAACAGAAATATCAATCTCAATCTCAAAATAATGAATCTTAACTAGTCATAAGTTGGCCTGTGATACTCCAATACTGAAACTATGTATAGTGCCAAAACAAAAGCATTCACATTGCTAAACTCACAAACTAGTATTTAGTCACTTGGCCATAATACCAACTTACCTCATAATTTTGTAATATTTTAAACTTAAGATTTAATTTAAGTCTGCCCGAAATGCCTAGCCATGCTAGGTGTTCTAGTGGTACACTCTGTAATTATTATTTTACTACATGTAAACAATACAATAACCAAATTCTGTAAACTCAGCATTGTAATCCTTATAGAGAATAAACTTTGAATTGAATCCAGGATTTATTCCAGCCACTTGTGTATAATAAATATTTCCTGGCGTCCTGGGTGGTCGTACTCTAGAAGGCGTAAACTGTGGTACACCTTAACAATAACAACAATAACAACAACAGCTGGAATAAGGTAGTCATTTTAGGTTAATTTCCGTTAGGTTTCCTTAGGTTAGGTTACATTTATTATATTACTACAAAACACAATTATGTCCACAGCATAACCCATCTAATATTGGCCATTTTTTTAATTGTGTTAATGGTATGCAATACGGACAAGTAGGTAAGACACGTGTACAACAATTATTATAAATTTTTATTTCTTTATGTGGTACATAATCCAAAAAAACAGACCTCTGTGACTTACTTCCAATGGTGTTCTTAGGTCTTTCACTTGGATATGATCCACAACAACCGTCTATGTCCAAGGTATTTATTGCTAGGTGAACAGACAAAAAGGTATTAGGAAACTTGACTTTATTTTGAATCAGTGATGACAATATTATTCATAAAACACAAGTATTAAGCATAATAAATGGTTTTATCATCAAAGCAAGTTACAATAGCACAAAAGTACATTTTATTTTATTGTTTAAGTCTAGTATTTTTGCGTACACAAATATGAAATGGTTGTCTTTATTAAATATTGAAGATGTTTCTAATTTATGGATGAATATCAATATAAACCAGTACTTTCATTTAAATTATTTGCAAATTATAAATTCTTTAAGACTAATAAAAAAGTTCTTTTCCTCAGCAGGAACAATGGGGAAAAATACAATCAACAACCAAAAGAAAAAGTTGGCAAAACTACGCAAAAAAAATGCAGCAAAACAAAATTTAGGGTCACTGTCAATTAAAGATCTTTTAAGACATGCACAGGAACAAATAGATATTTTTCAGTATGATAAAGCTCAGAAATTTTGTCAAGAAGCCTTAAAGCGAGATGCAGATAATGTGGCTGCACTGGAGATATCAGCCAGCTTGTGTCTTGAAGTTGGGAATTTGGAAGGAGCACAACACTGCTTGGGACGAGCCATTACATTAAAACCTGAAGAAGGTTATGAAAAATATATGTCAATGGCACAGTTACTGAATGGTAAAGAGTCTCTCCAGTGCTATCAAAAGGGCATTGAGCTGTTAACAAAGGTAATTAGTGATCTTCAACAATCTGTAAAAGAAAATAAGGAAGTACATTCTGAAAATAACTTGACAGATGTTTCAGTTCAAGAAGAAATGGGCACAGAACAATGTGAATCACAGGATGAGAATAAAGAGACATCACTAACCAGAGTTACAAGGACTAAAAATGAACCAATTCCATCGTGTTCATCAGTTGAAGAACGACAATCAAGCTTTCTTCAGGATCTTTCTTCTGCTCACTGCTCCATAGCAGAATTGTACATGACGGACTTGTGTGATGAAGAGGATGCAGAGAATCTGTGTCATGCCAGTATTGCCAGTGCCATTGAAGTTGACCCCAGCAACCCAGAGGCTTATCAACATATGGTTTGTATATTTCTCTTATAATTTTAATGTGCACTTCACTTAATGCTTAAAAAGAAAGAAGAGTGGAAGGAGAGTACATTGAAAATGTATGCTGTATTTTTTTTTTTTTGGCTTTATATTAAATTTTTGGGTGACATTAATTAGTTAAATAGCATTATGTGGTTTAGGCCTATTATTTTTCTTTGAAAAATTTCCACTTTATTTTTCAGACCATATGGAAAAACACCTTTACATTGACTTGAAACATACACTCTTTATAAACCAAAGCTTTCAGCTGAAAATTTATAGTGTAGACTCCTGGTAGGCATTTTGGGAACCACTTACTATATTAGATGTTTCTGGTTGGCTGATACCATACATCAGTGCTATTAATTATAAACCTGAATTCCTATTTTTCTAAACAGGCCAGTTTTTTCTTGGTGAAACAAGATGTAGATGAAGCAAAGGTACATATACTAAAATCAGTAAAACTCTGGTTACCAAAATATAAAGAAGTGGATGAAGGCAAGGCAGCAGCAGGCACTTTTGACCCAGTAGAGGTGTGCCCCTTGTCATATACAACACGGCTCAATACAGCAAGAATTCTCATAGAAGTAGAAGACTATGAGAATGCAGTGGAAGTTCTTGAAGGACTATTAGAGGAAAATAATGAAGTAAGGCTCAGATATGAGACAGGTGATAGTGTGTTATTGAGCATAAAAATGTGTGATGAGGATCTTGGATAGAGAAACAATTAGTGAAATTTATTAATATTTTTATAAGAAGATATTTAGGGTTCAAATCATGAATAAGGAATTGTCTGATTTACACTTTCACCCTAAAAACTTATCTCTTATCAAAAGACTGTCTATTCCAGTTCCAGTGGTTGCAAATTTCAGTAAAAAAGCAAATATATCTCTAGAATCTCACCTTTAATATGTTATGAAGTACACTGTTAACTTTGTTCTGGGTGGATAAAAGAGAATCAATGTCTTTTAGTTGCATTTAAATTGTAAAGTAATTTTATTAATCTAAATTTTTTATTAGTTATTTATGTGCTCTTGTGTAGTATAGTTTCATTGCACCTGTTATTTATTTAATATGTGAAGCTTTTACAGTATAAACTATTGCAACGAATGTTATATTTGATATATAGAAGTGTCAAATTAATTAATGTTAAATGAATAGCATTATACTAGTATGATATTATTTACAGATTGTAGACACATGGTACTTGCTAGGTTGGACTTCTTACTTGCAAGGAGGAGAACATATGGATTCAGCAAAGTACTACCTCCATCAGGCCATGAAGGTTATTTAAGTTGGATTTGTTTTTTAAATAAATTGGCCATCTACTACTGAGGTAGGATGAGCCAGGAAGAAAGAAAATGCATTCACCAATCTTTCAATAACTGTCTTGCTTGAAATAGACAGACAACCATTCAAATGGCCCTCTGCACTGTAATGTCCCCAACTCTGTTAATATTCTTTTCTATTAATCTCATAGATCCAGTAAATTTTATATTGTTGAACATCTGTCCATTTTTCTGTACTCAAGTGACATCTCAGCATGGCACTCAGTAATTTAAGAGTAGACACACTAATGATGCTTATCTTTTGCCAAATACCATGACACAGTTTACCTTAAAACAACTATATTTGAGGACTTCACAAGCACTGTATGTTTAGTGCTTAGATTTATAATTGAGGGTTTCACTGTGTTGTACATATTGTGAACATGCAACTGTACTCACATCACCAAACTATGTGATGATTCTGTTCTTGAATTGATGGTCCATTAAACTTCATATTGACACTAGCTCCTATGATTGACAAAATAGCAGAGCTACCTCCTGCCTCCTATTGCCTCAGTCATATCCGAGTTCAAAAGGTTGAGGGAGTAAGGAAAAGAAGAGGAGGAAAAGGGAAATGAAAGGGAGGGAGAGAAAGAGGAGGGCAAAAGGATACCCTTATGTGTTTGAAATATTAATGTTCTGGACTATTGTATACTGTGCTAGCAGACAGTGGGTTGCATGTGGGTCCTGTTTGAAAATGCCATGTTTAGTTCTAATACAGTGGACCCCCGGTTAACGATTTTAATCCGTGCAAGAGGGCTCATCGTTATGCGAAATAATCGTTATGCGAATGAATTTTCCCCATAAGAAATAATGGAAATAAAATTAATCCGTGCAAGACGCCCAAAAGTATGAAAAAAAAAATTTTTTACCACATGAAATGTTAATTTTAATACACACAAACTGAAAAAGGCATGCACAATTACATGACACTTACTTTTATTGAAGATCTGGTGATGATTGATGGGATGGGAGGAGGGGAGAGCATTATCTTCTTACTGTTTAGAAGGGGAATCCCCTTCCATTAGGACTTGAGGTAGCAAGTCCTTTTCTGGGGTTACTTCCCTTCTTCTTTTAATGCCACTAGGACCAGCTTGAGAGTCACTGGACCTCTGTCGCACAACAAATCTGTCCATAGAGCTCTGTACCTCCCGTTCCTTCAAGACTTTCCTAAAATGGGCCATAACATTGTCATTGAAATAGTCACCAGCACGGCTTGCAACAGCTGTGTCAGGGTGATTTTCATCTATAAAGGTTTGCAGTTCAACCCACTGTGCACACATTTCCTTAATCTTGAAGTAGGCACAATGGATTCCACAACTGGCATAGGCTTCTCAGGGTTAGCCCCAAACCCTTCAAAATCTTTCTTAATTTCCATACTAATTCTCACCCTTTTTACCACAGGGTTGGCACTAGAAGCTTTCTTGGGGCCCATGGTCACTTATTTTCCAGAAACAGCACCGAAAACACTGTAATAATACGAAATATTCCGAGTGTATGCTTGGATGTTACCGCGGAGGCTGGCTGGTAAACAATGGGACGGCCGGCACATGTGAGGGCACATTGGACGCGTCTCGGACGAAAATCGGTATGCGGGTTTTTAATCGGTATGCGCGGCAAAAATTTTGCGATAAAAGTAATCGTTATGCGGAAAAATCGCTATGCGATGCCATCGTTATGCGGGGGTCCACTGTACTAGACTTATGTGGAGTTGTAACAGTATCCATAGTCATGATGCAAGTGCAAAATACATTTCTGATACTTCACATGTACATTTGAATCTTAGTAAAAATGTGTTGGAAATAATGGGAGCATAATGTGTTGTTATGTTTGTAAGTTCAGCATGAAGGTCATATGCAAAACAGAGCAGATAAACTTTCTCAGAAAAAGCTAGAAATAGCTTCATTTTTTTTTTTCTCAGAAAAAGCTAGAAATAGCTTCATTTTTTTTTTTCCAGGTACATAACACAGCTGGTAGTGCTGATGTGCAGTTGATTGAACACGTGAAAGAATTAACACAAAAGCTTGGCCCATACACAGAAGATGAGTCAGTGAATGAGGCAGAAATTGAAGATGAGCTTGAGAGACACTTAGATGAAGGCCTGATACAAGAAGATGAGCAAATGGATACCAACTAATTTTCTTCACCAACTGATTTGCTCTTGCTTTATTTCCACAAATTTTTATAACCAATATGTAATTATGAGTTAATAGCCCTTTTAATTAAATATTTTGTGAATAAAATATATCTCTTAATGGGATATTCAAAGTTATTGGTGTAATATATAGTACAGTAATTAATTATAATTATTAGTAGCCCACCATCGAGTTTGAATAAAGAACAGTATTGGGGTAATAAAAACACTTTTAATAATTCCTTGAATTATGACAAAGTAGTAACTCAAAATCATTCTTAGCACTTACGAACTTTTTTTCACCTTAAAATGGCAGTATTGTATAAGAAACTTCTCTATTATATAGCCACTTAATTTCTTAAATCGTGTCTTGATTCGTTAGGCTCTCACTGGTGTGGCTGTATACTTATGCATATGTAAATATGTGTGTGTGCATATGTATATGTGCATGTATGCATGTGCATATAAGTGTGTGTATATATGTGTGTGTTTGCATGTTCTGTACCTGTTTAAATCTTTGCATATGTATGCCTGTAGTACAGTGGACCCCCGCATAACGATCACCTCCGAATGCGACCAATTATGTAAGTGTATTTATGTAAGTGCGTTTGTACATGTATGTTTGGGGGTCTGAAATGGACTAATCTACTTCACAATATTCCTTATGGGAACAAATTCGGTCAGTACTGGCACCTGAACATACTTCTGGAGTGAAAAAATATCGTTAACCGGGGGTCCACTGTACTTATAAATTTGTAGTGTAGGGAAGGAGGGGTAGGGGTCATCCTAGGAAAGGATGGAGGGAGGAGGCAAAAGAGGCTTTGTGTGCAAGGGGCTTGGACATGCACCAGGCATGTGTGAACATGTTAGACATGAGTGGAGATGAGTGATTTTTTGGGACTTGACAAGCTGTTGGAGTGTGAGCAGGGTAATATTTTGTGAAGGAATTCAGGGAAACTGGTTAGCTGGACTTGAATTCTGAAGGTGGGAAGTACAATGCCTGCACTTCAAAGTAAGGGTTTGGGATATTTACTGTTTGGAGTGACATCTGAATTGTCATGTCTGTGTACCTTTGCAAAGACAGTGATTATGTGTGAATGATGGTCAAAGTGTTGAATGATACTGAATGTGTTTCTTTTTTGGGTCACCTTGCCTTGGTGGGAGATGGCCAATGTGTTGAAAATAAATACATACATGTACAGTGGAATCCCAGATTTCGCACGCACCGGATATCAGACGTTTTGGATTTAGAACACTTTTTTGGGCAAAATTTTGCTCTGAATTTCGTGCCTTCTCCCGGAAATCGTACGTATCAGATGTGTCCGCCCACCAGGACGCCGCCTCAGTCTAGCTCTGTCACTGGTTGAGTGAGCATTCATCCGAAACATTTCGCAATTTTTGTGCTTGTTTATTGATTGGGCCCAAACAAAGTTCCTAGTGCCAGCCTTTTGGTAAAGAAAGTGAGAAACACGATAGAATTCAAGAAGGTGGCGTACGTGTAGCCGAGCTTGCCAGGATGTGTGGCTGTATTTGAAGGGGTTGAGGCTGACCCTGTTGACCCTATGCCTGTTGTGGAATGTATTCTGTCTTTGGGGAAGTCCATGGGGTTGGATGTGAGTGGCCAGGATGTGGAAGAGTTGATGGAGGACTACAGGGAAGGGCTAACCACTGAAGAGCTGCAAGACCTTCAACTGGAACAGCAACAGATTGCAGCTGAGGAATTTGCTTCAGAGAAGGAGGAGGAGAGAGAGGAGATGCCTTCAGTGATTAAGGACATTTGTGTATAGTGGAATGAGGTGCAAACTTTTGTTGAAAAATATCACCCTGACCAAGCTGATACAAGCCGTATCTGCAACATGTTCAGAATTTAGGCAAATCTTAGAGATACCAGAAACAGAACTCTCTGGACAGATTTTTAGTGTGACAGTGGCCCAGTGCCAGTAAAAGACAAAGAAGGGAAGTAACCCCAGAGAGGGCTTTGATACCTGAAGTCCTTATGGAGAGGAATTCCGATTCCAAACAATAACCTCAACTCTCTCTCCCCTCCTTGCCTTCTTCAATAAGCCAACAAGAATCTTCAATAAGAGTATGTAATGTTTATTTATCATTAAAATTAGTTTTATATTTATTTCTCATTGTTTTCTGTATGTAAAACTATTTACCTGGAGTTTACCTGGAGAGAGTTCCGGGGGTCAACGCCCCCGCGGCCCGGTCTGTGACCAGGCCTCCTGGTGGATTAGAGCCTGATCAACCAGGCTGTTACTGCTGGCTGCACGCAAACCAACGTACGAGCCACAGCCCGGCTGGTCAGGAACCGACTTTAGGTGCTTGTCCAGTGCCAGCTTGAAGACAGCCAGGGGTCTGTTGGTAATCCCCCTTATGTATGCTGGGAGGCAGTTGAACAGTCTCGGGCCCCTGACACTTATTGTATGGTCTCTTAACGTGCTAGTGACACCCCTGCTTTTCATTGGGGGGATGTTGCATCCAGGGCCGGATTAAGAAGTCTCCGGGCCCTAGGCTATTCAGATTGGCGGGGCCCCTTTGAGTTACGGGTAAGCGAAGCGACCCCTTCCAGCTTGGGGGTGGGGGGGGGGGGGGTTGGTGTGAGCCTGTTTAATGTCTAATTAAATACATTCTGGCTATTTAGATTAAATTTAATAGGGAAAGTACATCAAGACAACCAAAACCATTTAACAACAGCCATTATAACTATCTTGTTAAATCATGCATTTTAAAGAGAATAAACTCAAGACAGCATAGTATTACTAGATTAGGCTATTAAAGTAGTGACATCATGTACCTATTATATTCAGCATAACCACTACAGCACTATTATTCCCTTTATAAATCACTGACCATTATTGTTATCATTGCATCATGCATAAGACTATCAAATCATATAAACTCAAGAAAGTAAAGAATTGTTTATATTCACAGGCACTTCTTAAATAAACTTTTTTCAGGATTTCATATTGGCAAAATCATCAATTATATTCTGAAAATCAATATTTCTTGTTAGATCAGACTCAATGGTCAACAAGGCTAGGTTACACAATTTGTCTTGGCTCATTGTTGACGGAGCTGATTTTTCACTCTTTTCAAAACAGAAAATGAACGTTCTCCTTCACAGTTAGTAGCTGGAAGTGTTAGGTAAAGGCGATACACTATGTCAACATTAGGGAAGGTTTCTGAGATACCTGCATTTCTTAAATGTTTCAAAGCAGCTGAGGGCGCACATTTTTCAGGTGGAGCTTTAAATCTGATTCATATACCCAGAAAAATGAACTATTTCTTCAGCAAATGTGTCCTGAATATCTGCTGAAAGGTGTTGTTGCAACTTTAATGCAGCTTCTCTCAATTCTGCATCTGGCATAGTAGTAATTTTGAACAGAAATCCAAACTTGTCATTGAGATTCTGGTAGATTTCTTTTCTTTTTACCAATTCTGTAATCAGTGAATCCAGAATGACGAAGTATGTAGCTGTCTTACATTTCTTCAGTTAATTTGTCACAGTACAAGTCTAGATAACGTGTAATTACTACAGAAAATTGGCCCCTCAAGGAAGGTTCCTTGATGTTGGTGAGGGGCTCTTGATTTAGGATATTGGATCTGTGCTCCAGTTCCCCGAATTAAGCCTGAATGCCTTCCACATCCCCCCCCCCCAGGCGCTGTATAATCCTCCGGGTTTAGCGCTTCCCCTTGATTATAATAATAATACAGAAAATTGGAGAGGAATCTCCCATGCTCACCTATTAGCGGGAAAACACAGCTGTTCTGATGTAAACAAAGGCGTGTTGAGTATTGCCATCTATGGTTAGGTTTATTTATTTTTATTTTATTTTATTTCATTATTTATTTTTGTTTTGATTAATTTTTAAAAATCAATTTTACTCTCCAAACACTTGAACTTTTTAGGAAGGGACCCCTTTGCACTTGCACCATGTGCGCAGTCTTGGATGAGCCCCTGAACCCCTTGGACCGCGGGGCCCTAGGCAAATGCCTAGTTCGCCTATGCGGTAATCCGGCCCTGGTTGCATCGTCTGCCAAGTCTTTTGCTTTCGTAGTGAGTGATTTTCGTTTGCAAGTTCGGTACTAGTCCCTCTAGGATTTTCCAGGTGTATATAATCATGTATCTCTCCTGCCTGCATTCCAGGGAATACAGGTTTAGGAACCTCAAGCGCTTCCAGTAATTGAGGTGTTTTATCTCCGTTATGCTCGCCGTGAAGGTTCTCTGTACATTTTCTAGGTCAGCAATTTCACCTGCCTTGAAAGGTGCTATTAGTGTGCAGCAATATTCAAGCCTAGACAGAACAAGTGACCTGAAGAGTGTCATCATGGGCTTGGCCTCCCTAGTTTTGAAGGTTCTCATTATCCATCCTGTCATTTTTCTAGCAGATGCGATTGATACAATGTTATGGTCCTTGAAGGTGAGATCCTCCGACATGATCACTCCCAGGTCTTTGACGTTGGTGTTTCACTCTTTTGTGGCCAGAATTTGTTTTGTACTCTGATGAAGATTTAATTTCCTCGTGTTTACCATATCTGAGTAATTGAAATTTCTCATCGTTGAACTTCATATTGTTTTCTGCAGCCCACTGAAAGATTTGGTTGATGTCCGCCTGGAGCCTTGCAGTGTCTGCAATGGAAGACACTGTCATGCAGATTCGGGTGTCATCTGCAAAGGAAGACACGGTGCTGTGGCTGACATCCTTGTCTATGTCAGATATGAGGATGAGGAACAAGATGGGAGCGAGTACTGTGCCTTGTGGAACAGAGCTTTTCACCGTAGCTGCCTCAGACTTTACTCTGTTGACTACTACTCTCTGTGTTCTGTTAGTGAGGAAATTATAGATCCATCGACAATTACATGCACAATTACATGACACTTACTTTTATTGAAGATCTGGTGATGATTGATGGGATGGGAGGAGGGGAGAGCATTATCTTCTTACTGTTTAGAAGGGGAATCCCCTTCCATTAGGACTTGAGGTAGCAAGTCCTTTTCTGGGGTTACTTCCCTTCTTCTTTTAATGCCACTAGGACCAGCTTGAGAGTCACTGGACCTCTGTCGCACAACAAATCTGTCCATAGAGCTCTGTACCTCCCGTTCCTTCAAGACTTTCCTAAAATGGGCCATAACATTGTCATTGAAATAGTCACAAGCACGGCTTGCAACAGCTGTGTCAGGGTGATTTTCATCTATAAAGGTTTGCAGTTCAACCCACTCTGCACACATTTCCTTAATCTTTGAAGTAGGCACAATGGATTCCACAACTGGCATAGGCTTCTCAGGGTTAGCCCCAAACCCTTCAAAATCTTTCTTAATTTCCATACTAATTCTCACCCTTTTTACCACAGGGTTGGCACTAGAAGCTTTCTTGGGGCCCATGGTCACTTATTTTCCAGAAACAGCACCGAAAATACTGTAATAATACGAAAATTCCGAGTGTATGCTTGGATGTTACCGCGGAGGCTGGCTGGTAAACAATGGGACGGAGCGGCACATGTGAGGCTGGCTGAGGGCACATTGGACGCGTCTCGGACGAAAATCGGTATGCGGGTTTTTAATCGGTATGCGCGGCAAAAATTTTGCGATAAAAGTAATCGTTATGCGGAAAAATCGCTATGCGATGCCATCGTTATGCGGGGGTCCACTGTATTGGCAGAAAGGTGGGCTAGTGTAAGTATGAGTAGTGGGCAGTTGAAGAGGGTTGGAATAGTTTTAAAAAATGCAGTATTAGAATGTGGGGCAGAAGTTTGTGGTTATAGGAGGGTGGGTGCAGGAGGAAAGAGGAGTGATTGGTGGAATGATGAAGTAAATGGTGTAATAAAAGAGAAAAAGGTAGCTTATGAGAGGTTTTTACAAAGCAGAAGTGTTATAAGAAGAGCAGAGTATATAGAGAGAAAAAGAAAGGTGAAGAGAGTGCAAAAGGAGAGCAGATGATAGAGTGGGAGAGGCACTGTCAAGAAATTTTAATGAAAATAAGAAAAAATTTTGGAGTGAGTTAAACAAGTTAAGAAAGCCTAGGGAATGAATGAATTTGTCAGTTAAAAACAGAGTAGGAGAGTTAGTAGATGGGGAGATGGAGGTATTGGGTAGATGGCGAGAATATTTTGAGGAACTTTTAAGGGGGGCATAAAGCGCGCCCAGCGCGAACGAAAAGAATACTCGAAAAAATTCACATATTGAGTTAATCATATAGAAAAATAGCTTAACTCTCTGGCAACACACTGGTACAGGAATCATTGTTCTACGACATTCCTACAAGGAATTATGGTCATTTAAACCACCTAGGGTGATGTCACCACCTGCGGCAGGTCTGCTCACCTGCTGTCAATTTTCATGTTTTTTTTCCTATTTTTTTCGACGAAGAAAGGGAGGCGGTAATTTCATGCTTTGGCCAGGGAGGTATACCATTATTTAGGAGTGAAGAAGAGCAGGATGTGAGTGTGAGGGAGGTGCATGAGGCATTACATAGAATGAAAGGGGGTAAAGCAGCTGGAACTGACAGGATTATGACAGAAATGTTAAAAGCAGGGGGGGGGAATATAGTGTTGGAGTTGTTGGTATTTTTGTTTAATAAATGTATGAAAGAGGGGAAGGTACCTAGGGATTGGCAGAGAGCATGTATAGTTCCTTTATATAAAGGGATGAGGACAAAAGAGATTGTAAAAATTATAGAGGAATTTGTTTATTGAGTGTACCAGGAAAAGTGTACGGTAGGGTTATTATTGAAAGAATTAGAGGTAAGACAGAATGTAGGATTGCAGATGAGCAAGGAGGTTTTAGAGTGGGTAGGGGATGTGTAGATCAAGTGTTTAAATTGAAGCATATGTGTGAACAGGAATGCAGAGGAGAGAGAGAGATTTTGGGAGATGTTAAGTGAATGTATAGGAGCCTTTGAACCAAGTGAGAGAGTAATTGTGGTAGGGGACCTGAATGCTAAAGTAGGAGAAACTTTTAGAGAGGGTGTGGTAGGTAAGTTTGGGGTGCCAGGTGTAAATGATAATGGGAGCCCTTTGATTGAACTTTGTATAGAAAGGGGTTTAGTTATAGGTAATACATATTTTAAGAAAAAGAGGATAAATAAGTATACAAGATATGATGTAGGGCGAAATGACAGTAGTTTGTTGGATTATGTATTGGTAGATAAAAGACTGTTGAGTAGA